ACCTTCATCAAAGATGCCCTGGATATGTTTGTAGATTTATTCTAAAGATTGTTTAGAAATAAGAAAGTAGATATGTGGCTCATTAGTTTTTTACTTTTTTTAATGATGAGGTATGTGAATTTTTAAAATATATTTTTTTCAATCAACAAAAATCTATCTACCTTTTTTTCTACCCACTTCTCACCACCCCCATTGAGAAAGAAAGAAAAAGAAAACCTCTGTTACAAATATGTGTGTGGGGGTGGGTGTGTGAGTGTGTCTTTGTCTGTGTCTGCATTCTAAGTTCATCACCTCTTAATCAGAACCTGATGGGTAAGATTCTTTCATCATGAGTCCTGGAATCCCATTGCACTGATCAGAGTTCCTAAGTCTTTCAAGGTTGTTTCGCTTTGCAATATTGTTGTCATTGTGTAAGTTATTATTCTGATCTTTCAAATCATATAAGTATTCTTAGGTTTCTCTGAAATTGCCCTTTCATTTCTTAAAACATGTCATTTCATCACCTTTATATATACTTTCATATATATATATATATATATACATACATATATATATACACACACACACACTTTTTATATATATACTTTATACTGTAACTTGTTCAACCATTTCCAAATTGACCAACACCCCCTTTCTAGTTTTTTGCAACCAGCAGAAGAGCTACTATAAATATTTTTGTATATCCCTAGTTACAGTTTGTTTTGTATAAGACTAATCCCTACTCTGTCTTCCCTCTTTTGACCAGTTCAGATGAGAGTGAGGTTCAGGTGTCACCCACTGCCCCCCATCCCTTCTTTTTTATTTATGTAGACTTTTATTTGTGTACCCTGATTTGATATAATTTTCCCCATCCTTCCTCTCCCTTTTTACTCCCTCCGTGCTGTTTCAGTTCTTCTTTTTAGATCATCAAAACCTGACAGAATCACTTTCAAGTCCTGTGTTTAATTAGATTCTGTGATCCCTGATGCTGTGAGGGTTGAGGGGGGAAATGATATATATATTATCTCCCCATATTAAAATGTAAAAATTTATCTTTGTTTAGTCTGTTATAATTGTGCATTTATGTTTACCTTTTCATGTTTCTTATAACTCCTGTTTACACTTTAAAGTTTCAATGCAGTTTTGATCCTTTCATCAGGAATGCTTAGAAATCCTTTATTTCACTAAAGGTCACTTCTTTTCCCCCAAAAGGATTTATAGTTCATATTGTTGTATACGTTATTTTTGGTTGAAATCCTGTATCCTTTGCTTTACAGACTAGCATATTCTAAGCTCTTCTTTACAGTGATGGGTGCTAAATTTTGTCCAGTCATGACTGTAGCTCCTTATCACATGAATTCTTTCCTTCTCACTGCTTGCATCATTGTTTCTGACTTAGAAGCTCTGGATTTGCACTATAATGTTCCTAGGAGTTTTCCTTTTTTTTTTTTTTCTCCAGGAAGTTACTGATGTATTCTTTCTATTTCCACTTTGTCCTCTAGTTCTAAGAAATCTGGACAGTTTTCTTTTAAGATTTCTTGAAATAAGATGTCTGAGTTCTTTTTTTCAGTCTGTCGTAGTGTTCAGATAATCCAGAGATTCTTAAATCTTTTTCCCCTTGATCTGTATTCCAGGTCAGTTGTTTTTCTTGTGAGATAACTTATATCTTTTTTTCTATATTTTTAGTCTTTTGATTTTGTTTTAATATTTTTTTGTTATTTCATGGAGTATTTTCATGGAGTCATAGTTTTTATTTGGTCCATTCTAGTTTTCAGGGAGTTTGTTTCTTAGGTCAAGTATTATACTTCTTGTGTCAAGCTAGTAATTCCTTGTCTAATTCTTTCTTTTCATAATTATCATTTCTTTTTCAATTTTTTCCTTTAGCATTTTGATTTATCATAAAATACTTTTAATCCTTTTTTTTTTTTAAATTCTTCATCTCTTCTAGAAATTCTAGTTCAGCTTGTGCCCATGTTGTGTATTCCTTTGAGGCTTACCTTACAAATTATTTGGAATCCTTCTAGATTTGTATCTTGAGGGTCCTCGTCACCTTAATAACTTTTTATGATGGGATTCTTTTTTTGTTGTTGTTGTTCATTCTTCTAGCCCACTTCCTAATGTTAGATTTTATGTTAGGGCCAGGCTTGAACACTTCTTGAGTGAATGTCTAGGATAGTCCTAATATAGCTTTCTTGTGGTACTGAGTATTGTGTTATTCTGAGATCTCAGGAACAGCTCAGGCTAGGGATCTGCAGGCTTTCATTGCTCCCAGAATGGTCTGAGCCAGGGCAAAATCTGATCTCTGTCCTCCTGGTCTCAGCTCTACAAGTTCTTGACCTGGATTTGGGTCTGAGCAACAACACACCTGTGGGCTTGCTGTGGTTGGAGTTCCAGTGGGCTGCAACTGGACTCAGTCCCTGTTAGCCAGCTGGGAACCAAGTCTGCTGGTTCAGAGGGACCAGAAGTATTCCTGCCCTGGTTATTCTCCTGCAGGCTTCAGAACTGCATGCACAGCAGCCATACCTCAGTAAAGCCACCTCAGTAGGCAGGGTAAACCAAGTTAAGGGTATCCACCAGGCCTTAAACCCATTAATGAGTTAGGGGAGTGTCTACCCCAAGCACATGAGGACTTCTCCAGGTAGAATGAACAGATGAGAAGAGTTGTTCCAGTGGCCATGAAGGCAGCTGAAGTAGGCATTGTGGAGCACTTAGAGCTTGGTCAGACATCAGATATGCCAAGGTCTCATCCACTGCCTCCTGGGCATTGCCCGTCATTCTGACTTCTCATCTTGCCACTGGACTCTCTGATTACTGGAAGAGAGAGCGAGGCTGATGACTTTTGTGCAGCTCTGCCTCACTTAAATCCAGTTCACAGGCAAGTCAAGACATCACCCTGTGATGTCATTGGTCCTCTTCAGAAACGAAGAACGAACAACAACTATTTCTGAATGACTCCAGGGTCTGGTAGTGGCCAGGCTGGACAGTAACTACTAGAAGCAGATGCCTCTAAGCAATTGAGTTATACATTTAGCTCTTAATTGCTTATGAACTGACTTTTTTTCCATTTTGTTATTCATTAATACCTAGAAGATGATAGTTAAGGAAAAATATCTGAAGAGAAAATTAAATTATCCTGTTTTATTATATCACAGCAGTCACTGAAAAAAAATCATGGTCATTTTTTTTTTTTTTTTTGTAGTTCTGGTAAAAAAAAAAAAAAATGAAGGTTGAACCTATTCATTAAAATGAACTTGTAGCATTCAGTGTATTTTTACTATACGTACCCCACCCTACCCCACACATATCATTACCAATAATTAATATCTGACCAGATTTGGCATGTGTTTATTTTTTATGTACTTCTACCAGTCTTAGGATTGGCAGAATTCTAGCAGTAGATGAAAAAGTAGCAGATCTTTCTTTTCCTCATGCCAAATGAGCATGAAGGTACCAGACTGGCAATTGTTTCCTGATTAAACTGAGCAATTAGCCCTGAATCACAGAATCTGAGAGTTGGCAGGGACCTTGACAGCCATCTAGTCTAAGCCATACCTGAAAGAAATCCCACTATGACATAATCAACAAGTGAGTATTTCACCTCCACCTAAAGGCCTAAGGAAGGGGGAAACCTGGCCACTTCTCAAGGCCTCTCATTCCACTTTGGGACATTTCTGGTGGTTACCTAAATTCCTACCCTCTGCTCTGGAGCCAGGAAGATCTAATTCTCTGTCCCCGTGACATTGTGTCTCATCTGAGGCTTTTCTTCTCCAGTCTAAATATCCCCAGTCTCCAAGCCAACCCTTGTGTGAAGTGGACTCCACGCCCTTCGTTATCCTGGTTGCCCTTCTGTGCGCACACTCTAGTTTATTACTCTCCTCCTTAAGCTGTAGTGCCCAGAATGGGACACAAATACACTAGATCAGGTCTGACGAGGGTAGGGTACAGTGGGACTATTACCTTCTTTCCCTGATGCTGTCTCATCTGCACCCAGGGCCTCCTCGGCTTAGATAGAACATCCAACTTCACCCTGTGGCCTTGTCAGCATGGAATGACCCTTTCTAAGAGCTGTGATCTCCTTCTTCTTCTCCTTGACCTCCTCCTCTTGAGGAGTTGCTCCTGGAGCCTCCATTTTGTAGAAGGGCCCAGTCCAGCCTGTATTCCACTCCTGTCCCTGTTCCTAGCCTCCAGACTTCAAAACCAAATTCTGTTATCTAGAACTCTTAAGGAGACTTGTGAATACCTGAGTTCTTATCTTTCTGAACTCTAAAACTTTTTTTTTTAATTTGACCTTCTTTGATGAATATCTTTCTAAATAAATTACAAAGTTCTCTGCCTTTTTGGAGAGTGAAGGTGTAGACAGAATAAATCTGTTATTCATCAACATAGGGAATTCTTGATGAAGAAACTCCCTCCACCAATGCAGATTGGCATCTGCTTTTCCAACTTAGAGCATTAGAGAGCCTCCTGAGGGCATTGAGACATTAAACCCAGTGACTAGTAAATGTCAGAGGTAGGACTCAAATTCCAAGACTGTTTCTCTGCCCACCACACCATTGTGCCTCTCTCCCTGCAGTCTTAAAAAGAATATACTGAACAAAGGTAACCTTTCTGAAGTTGTGAATACCTGTTCTTGTGCCTCTCCCTAGTACAATGAATCACCAGCAATGACTGTGACTTGTGTTTTCAGGCCTGCTTTTCATAGTTTTGCCTGTCATCTATAACTTGTCATGTGAATAGAGCAGCTTCCCTCTAATTTGCTATTTTGAATCTGCATCAACTTAGAAACAAGATAACCAAGCATATTAGAATTGTGTATAGAATAAGATTAAATTGGCTCTGAATGTGACAACGTTAGTGGATCTTTGTCATTGCCTTTTTTCTCATTTCCTGGTTGTGCCCCTCTGAGGTGCGGCGATAAGGAAGCCAAGCTTCAAGTAATGGCAGCCCTTGTAGCCCACGAAGTCATTTTAACTCACCGAAGGCTCGCTCTGCTCTGCTTCTCTTTCCTTTTCTTTTCTAAGTCTCCCTTTCCTGGGGATGATGAAGAAGAGGTTTTCGACAGTATTGTGAATGATGAAGTAAGGTACCCGAGATTCTTGTCTACAGAAGCCATCTCCATAATGAGGAGGGTAAGAGCCCCTTAAATCAGACCTGTTTTTAAGCAAACTACTGCAGCATTCAACTTATTTATACTATCCTTATCCCCTGTACACATACATGCATCATTACAAATAATTAACATAGGACCACATTTAGTATAAGCAGATTTTACAGACACTTCCACCAGTTCTTGGGATTATCAGAACTTCCAAGAGTGGATAAAAATTACCAGACTGGGAATTTTGTCCAGATTAAACTAAGCAACTCACCCTTAATCACAGAAGTTGAGAGTTGGACCCTTGACAGCCATCTAATCCAACCCCAGAGTATCCACTAGTTCAAGAAGTCACGGGGCAGCAAGGTGGCGCAGTGGGTAGAGCACCGGCCCTGAAGTCAGGAGGACCTGAGTTCAAATCTGATCTCAGACCAAACACTTGACACATACTTAGCTGTGTGACCCTGGTCAAGTCACTTAACCCCAACTGCCCAAAAAAAAAAAAAAGTCACAAATGTACCTTATCAGATATGATTACTAAACATGAATTAAGTGAAAATATATTTATGCATTTCAGACTTAATAGAGAGACAGTGATAATACTATCAAGAGACCTCTACATCCGTGATAGAAAGAATCATCTGGTTGGGGCAGCTAGGTGGGGCAGTGGATAGAGCTCTGGCCTTGAAGTCAGGAGGACATGAGTTCAAGACCAGTCTCAGACACATGACACTTACTAGCTGTGTGACCCTGGGCAAGTCACTTAACCCCAATTGCCTCACCAAAAAAAAAGAAAAGAAAAATCATCTGGTGGTCCCCTTTCCAGGTTACCTACACATATACTTAACATGTATGACCTTGTATGTGGTTAGAATTTAGCATTGTCTAAAGAAAGGTTATATTCAGTAAAGAGTTGGCTTCTTAATGATGTCTGCTGTCAAACTAGACCCCTTGAGAATGGAGAGTCCTTTTTAGAAGGAGGGAGAGCTAGAGACAGTCTCAGGGAATCTTACCAGTGAAAGAAGCTAGTTTTAATTTGACAACTTTTGTGTTTGTCCTATTAGCTGCTGAGAAGAAATCCAGAACGGCGCCTGGGAGCTGGTGAGAAAGATGCAGAGGATGTCAAAAAACACCCATTTTTCCGGGTAAGCAGCAAATCAAGGGGGCTGTTAATCCCATTTAGGCAGTCATAGTAGGAAACTCAAGGTGTCTGTTGTTCTTTGTTCTGTGAAACAGCTAATTGATTGGAATGCTTTGCTGGCCAAGAAAGTAAAGCCACCATTTGTTCCGACCATCAGAGGACGCGAGGATGTGAGTAATTTTGATGATGAATTTACCTCAGAAGCACCTATTCTGACCCCACCTCGGGAACCAAGGATACTTTCAGAAGAGGAGCAAGAAATGTTTCGAGATTTCGACTACATTGCTGATTGGTGTTAAGTTCCAAGACACTGTGAAACTAGCAGAATGACTCTGGAGACGACAGACCTCTTTAGCCGAATAGCAGCCCTCCACTTGCTCTCTGTGCCACCAGTAGCTTCTGATTTTCTGAAATCACATGAAGATTTGTTTTAAAATACTAGTCTAATATCTTTCTTGAAGAGTGGCCTCTTGCAATGTATTTCCATTTTTAATCTGTGCACTGGAAACAGTTTTGGTGGGGTTTAAGCTGAATACAGGCCACATAAACATCCTTCACAGGTGGACACCCTTGGATCCATGTTGTCTTTTTTTTCCTTCCTCTTCTACAGTGGATACCTTTGTCATATGCTTGCCTTAAGTGGAAGGAAGACCAGTTTGGGATCTAGGACAGATAACCAGTTTACTTCGTTCCACTGTGTTTTCAGAATAAAGCTTGGGATGCTAGTGATACTCAACCTTAACAAGATTCTATCTGAATAAGGCAAATGCTGTTATATTTTAAAGGAATTACTGTAAGATTATCCAGAAGTGTCATTTGCAGCTTGTACACATTGTGGGTGCTGAGTTCGAAAATAACGGAATGAATTGATGCCTTCTTTTGTAAATTTTCTATATTTATTAGGAGAAAATGTTTTTAATGCCTTATCTTTACCAACCGTATAAGTGCTTCCATAATCATATGGACAAGTTGCCAAACAGCTTCTTGTTTGTTAAGCATTGCTGAAACAAACAGAACACCAGCATTTATTAAGAAAGTAAAGAAAGGAGTGCTTCTGGTCAGTCTGGATTGAGATACTGTGTTTACTGCACGCATTCCCAAAGCCTAGATCCTCATGGATTTTCAGTCACGACTTCCCAAAGTCAGTGAACAGACGACCTTTTTAAAAAAGACCCACCCTCGATTTAGCATCCTAGTTCTCTTGTATCTGCTGTATTAATGTATCACTTTTACACCCCGGGGACTGTCAGTGTATACATGCCGTGAACATGTATATGTGCAAGTTGTAATCTATTCAGCGTTCTAGGCTTGTTATTTAATTGTACCACTTTGTTACTTTGGCACAGTGGCCACGCAGACGCCGACTCCAGCATTTACGTGAAGTACATTTGTATACATTGTAGGCCACTGAATCCAGATTTTATATTGGCAGTTACTGAGGATAAAAAGCAATATGTAACAGAATGTATAAATATTTTTGATAAAACAGTGTATGTATATTTTATTAACCTATTATAACACTAAAGAACTGTACCTCAAAAGTCTCAAAGTAATTCGACCAAATATTTTTATATAACAGTTGAGATTGAGAGGGCCTGTTTTGGGTTATCTTAGTGTTGCTACAGGAAAGTCACTTTGCCAACTAAGAGTTTCTACTTGCCTAGAGCCTTTTTCCTTGTCTGTGACTCTGATATTTTTTCCCCCAGTTAGCATCTAGAATATAGATCTGTCTATATACATATAGATAGCTCATGTTTCTGGCTCAGCTGCATAGGATCGTCATACCTCACCAACAGCAAGCCGTCGGCTAACCTGGACCGTGTTGACCATGTAATTGCAATAAGCAAGCTCCCCTCTGAAAGAGAATTCATGTTTAAATCCTATAGGGAAAAATGAAAGCACACTGAGTTACAAAGAACTGAGCTCAAGGTATCTGTGAGTGTTTCAAGAACCTTACAGCTGTCCGCTGTCAGTCACTTCTGGTTTGTCCTCTTCAGAGCAGCGTTAATCCCCAAGATCCTTGACGTTCCCATTCATGCCCTTTGACACTCACAAAGTGATGATTATATAGAGCTCATGAGACCATCCAAAGAGGAGGGCCAGCAAGGGCATGTTGGGTTTGTTCCTCAGAATTCCAAATGCTTTCTCACTAGAGAGAGAAGCGCACTTTCTAAAGTGATTTTACATTGCCAGTCACCGTCTTTGGCAGGGGACAGAGAAGGAGCTTAGCTCAGGGTTCTGGGTTTCACTGAAACTATGTTGTACAATATAAGACGTGAAATACTTTTGAGGTACAGTCTGCTTACCCTTTCTGGTTCTCAGATACACCCAGAGAGCCATGTCTGAAAAGGCTGTTAGCATTAAACACTGAAGTAGCCTTTTGTAACTACACATTGTACAGAAATCTTTTTTTTTTTTTAATTGAAGTAAATCACTAAAAAAAAATTAGAGGGCAGGGTATGTTCACACAATTAAGCTAAAGAAAGCACTAATTTTCTCTGTAGTTTTTTAAAGTTTATTTTTAGTCAGATTTAAAATTTTAAACTCTAGATTGTAAATATATTTTGCTATACTGTATCTGTAAGTGGCTGCTCAGAGCACTTTGTAAGGAAATTAGGATATTTTAGAATGGTACACTATGCATTCATTAAAATGAGACGTGCCTTTTAACAATGTCATTCTAAAAAAAAAAACTTGAGTGTTTTGCAGTCATTAATTATCACAAATGCACAAATTAAAGTTTAAATAGATTGTACTTTGTAACATTGGTTTTAAGTATGATTTTCTTTTAAAGATTTCCTGTGGCTTAGAACATGACACTGAGGCCATATTGCAGGTTTAGTTTATTTTGGGGCCACTTTATGTCTCACAGCTGTGGATGTACTATAACCCCTAACCCTGTCCAACCATATTGCAAATGCTCACTCTTGGTCACAAGGGGAATGGGGGGGGGAGGGGGCGGAGTACAGCTTCTTTGATGCAGACCACCCCCAGTATTGGAGAGTAAAAAGTAACACTACCACATCAAAGCTGATGTCACCCCAATGACAAATCAGTTACCTTGTCACAAATGAGGGACGGGACAGTATCATGATTCATAACGTAGGCACTTACTATATATGATTCTTTCCCCTGGAGTTCAAAGTGCTTCATTACAAGAACTAAATTTGAGCCTTGGTGAATAGGCAGGTGAGTGTAAAAGGTCCCTTTAGAGTTCCATGATCATCTCCAGAAATGTAAACCAAATTTTTACATGTCTACATTCATAGTTAGTATGTGGGGATGAAATATTACCAATTCATTGTGGTTCCTGAGCTAGTCCCTGGAACACCATGAGACCCCTGACTGAATCTACTGCCAACAGAGCCTTTTTTGGGACAAAAATGAAACTGATATTGGACAGGCCAAAATCAATTAAAATGGAGTTTGGTAATGGGAAAATCTTGGATCTTCTCAAAGAAAGAATTAGGTGATCTTAAAACTGGGTGATACTATCATAAGGCATTAGGCACTGACACCTGGCAGTCTGAATTCACAACCTGATCTCTATTTCAACCCAGTTCTAATAAACTCAAAAGAATAAAAAAGTCAGGGAACAGAAGGTTGCCAGGGCGATATTTTTGTTCTCTAGGCTTGCAGGCCAGGTGGATGCCATGTTAATGAACAGGGACTAGTAGTTTCTGGCTTATAAAAACACCTCCCTTATCTTCTCCCTCCCATCCCCCTTTACACGTGTGCTCTTTTGGGGGAAATTGTTTTGTTTGTCTCCTCGAGCTACTTTCAGCCAAGTGAAGATCTAAATTGCTAGCATTTATATAGCACTTTTGAGGTTTGCAAAGCACTTCACAAATATCTCATTTTATCCTCCCAACAACTCTGGGAAGGTAAGTGCTGTTATTTGCAGATAGGGGAATTGAAGCCAACAAGTCACTGTTCTCAGGGTCACCCAGATAGTAAGTGTCTGGGGTTGGGTTTGAATTCAGATCTTCCTGACTCCAGGTCCAGCGCTTTGTGCACTATAGCATCACCTCACTGTCCCCATCATAGTGCTTGCTTCAAGGCCATAGTGATTATTTGTAAAGTGATTTTAGGATTTTCATATGGTACTAAATTTGAAATGCAGCCAACTCGTTATGATTCTATAATTGCCCAATTTAAGGATTTTTCAGACCTGACTTCTCCAGTTTGCTGATTGCAGTTTAATCATTCTACAAACATTTCCACCAAAGGTGGTTAGGACACCAGAAAAAGTTTTATGATAAGGAACAGATACATGTTGACTGAAATGAGATTTTTGGATTATCTTTAATTACCCATACTATATATATCACCTCCTTCCCACCTGCCAACTCTCTATTTGAAGCCATTTGCTATAAATGCAATTTTGGAATAAAATAACCTCCGGGACTAGGATTCAGGAGCCCTGGGTTCTAGCATTGGATATGCTCTTAAGGTATAGGCTCTTGATTGAGATCTCCTGGTGTGAGTCACCTCATCTGTAAGATTAAGGTATTGGACTAGATGCCGTCTTCTGTGCCAGCTATGAAAATGTATGGGCCCTTGACAGATGGATAGATTCTCAGCCACAAATAAATTCTTACCCTGTTCAGGGATGTAAGAGAGATTTGTTGACTTTAGCAGTAATCCTCTCAGGTTTAAAACAATATCCAAACTTCAAAGTGTGGTACACATAGCTTTCTTCTAATGGGAAGAATTGTTTACTTAGAGCAATAAAGCGAGTGATTTGAGAATTAAAATAATTGAAAGGTTTTTCATGAAAGAAAGTTTTAACTAGATCTGAACTATCTTACTCGTCTAACTTAGCTGCATGAAGCCCAGACTCTTTCAGTGGCAAAAGCAAAAGAGATATGGTGTGAGTTTTGAATATTAAAATGACTCCTGGCTTTACTGGCACTAGAGGTTTCATGATCTGATAATCTTTGGTAGTCATTGGAAGCTACTTTTAAGAGTGATTTATATTTTCACTGTGTCCTCTCGAGCTGTATTGAGAAATAATGTCAGAAAAATTTCCACAACTCTCCCAGTTACCTCATCAGATTTTGGTGTGGCTGCAATAAAGACCTTGTCTAACAAGATAGGAAGACTGTTCCTGATTGTTGGAAAAAAAAAGGTCTTTCCCTTCCCTCAGTAGCTAGCCTTGCCAAAATAAAAATAAAGCCACGTCAACAGCATAAATCCCTCTGATGCCTCAAGGACTGCTTTAGGGGCATTCCAGTAGATTGGCTCCTAACTAGGTAATTTAAAAAGTTATTTTATAATGACACTGTAGTTTGCCGTACACTAAAGAAAACATGATTTTTAACCAGGACACAAGTAACCCCTCCATATAGAGAATCATCTGGGTGGGATGCCGGGGAGGGGGAAAAGGGGAGCGCCGGCAATTTGGACAGTAGTTAGGGGTCATGGTGAAGAAAATTACCTGAAAAATTGGAAGCCATTCACCAAGATCTCTTTTCCCTTTATCTCACATCATTCAAATTCTTTCCCCCCGCTGGATCCAGCCCCCATTTCACATGAAGAGGTGGCTCTTCTTGCCAAGGCAAACCCCTCTCCATGTTCAAGTGATCCCTTTCCATCCTGTCTTCTCTAGCAAGTTGCTCCTTATTTTCCCTACTGTCTCACTTCAGTCTCTCCCTCTGTCCCAGCTACTTCTCTGCTCTCTACAAACTACACTCATGTCTCCCCCATCCTCAGAAAACTTCCAGTTCAGCCACACATACTGTTAGCTTTCAACCTATTTTGTGGGGGGTGGTTCTCTGTTTTGTTTATTGTGGGTTTTTCCTATTTTATTTTCAACCAATTTCTGGCCAAACTCCTTGAGAAGGCCGTCTGCAATTGGTGCCTCCATTTCCTGTCCTCTCTCTTAACTCATTGCAATCTGGCTTCCAACTTTGATTCAAATAAAACTTTTCCAGAATTACCAATGGTCTCTTTTTTTTTTTGTTTAAATAGGCAATTGAGGTTAAGTGACTTGCCCAGGGTCACACAGCTAGTCCTCCTGACACTTACTAGCTGTGTGACCCTGGGCAAGTCACTTAACCCCAATGGCCAAAAAATAAAAAAACCTGGGGCAGCTAGGTGGTGAAGTGCATAGAGCACTGGGTATGAAGTCAGGAGGACGTGAGTTCAAATCTGAGCTCAGACCAAACACTTGACACTTACTAGCTGTGTGACCCTGGGCAAGTCACTTAACCCCAATTGCCAAAAAGTAAAAAAAAAAAAAAAAAATTAAAAATCTATCCACTGGGCCACATTGCCCTTCAATGGTTTCTTAATCACTAAATCCAAGGGCCTTTTCTTCATCTTCATCCTTCTGGAGCTCTGTGTACTCTTTCTATGTTTTTGCAATATTACTTGCACTTTCCTGGCTCTCCTACCTGTATGATGGCACCTTCTCAATCTCCTTTATTGGCTCTTCATTCAGGTCATGCCCACCAAATCTCTGACCTAAGCCCTCCTCCTCTC